AGAAACCTTGGTTTTTTTCCTACTCTTAAATAAGTTAGTTTAATGGATCTGTAAGATAGTGTAGCTAGAGATCAAGAAGAGATCAGGGGCTTTCTGTTAAGAGGTTAACAAGTCACTGGACTTAGAAGTGGAATAAAGCGTGTTTTCTAACTCCCTGAAGCCTAAAGGAGTTTTAATTCTAATATAAGAGCAGGGACTAATACTATTATAAGCACACCTCTGAGATACTACAGGTTAGGGTTTGGACCACTATAGTAAAGTGAAAATTACACTAAAGCAAGTCAAATGAATTTTTAAAATTTCCCACTGCATATAAAAGTTATATTTATACTATACGGTAGTCTATTAAGTCTTTAATAGCATGATGTTTTAAAAAATTGTACACATACCTTAAACATACTTTAATGCTAAGAAATGCTAACTACCATATGAATTTTCAGTGAGTTGTATTTTTTTAAAAAAGATTTATTTGTTTGACAGAGAGAGACATAGCAGGAGAGGGAACACAAGAAGGGGGAGTGGGGAAGGGAGAAGCAGGCTTCCCGCCAAGCAGGGAGCCCGATGCGGGGCTCGATCCCAGGACCCTGGGATCATGACCTGAGCCGAAGGCAGACCCTTAACGACTGAGCCACCCAGGCGCCCCGAGTTGTAATCTTTTTGCTGGTGGAGGGTTTGCCTCAATATTGAGAGTTGCTAAAGGTTGGGGTGGATGTGGCAATTTCTTAAAACAAGACAGTAAAATATGCCACATCAACTGACCCTTCCTTTCATGAACAATTTCTCTGTAGCATGCAATGCTGTTTGATAGAACAGCTTTCAAAATTGGACTCAATCCCCTCAAACCCTGCTGCTGCTTTAGCAACAAAGTTTGTTATATCCTAAATTCTTTGTTGTAATTTCAACAATCTTCACAGCATCATCACCAGGAGAAGATTCCATCTCAAGAAACCACTTCCTTTGCTAATCCATAAGAAGCAACTCCTCATCCATGAAAGTTTTATCATGAGATTGCCGCAAGTTAGCTGTATCTGTAGGCTCCACTTCTAATTTGAGTTCTCTTGCTATCTCCACCACATCTGCAGTTCCCTCCTCCACTAAGTCTTGAATCCCTCAAGTCATCCATGAGGATTAGAATCAATTTCTTCCAAACACCTATTAATGTTGATATTTTGACCTCCTTCCATGAATCACAAATGTTAATGGCATCTAGAATGGTGAATCCTTTCCAAAAGGTTTTCAACTTACTTTGCCCAGATCCATCAGAGGAATTATTATCTATGGCAGCTATAGCTCTATAAAATGTAAATGTTAAAATAAAAGACTTCAAAGTCCAAATGACTCCTTGATCCATGGGCTGCAGAATGGATGCTGTGTTAGCAGGCATGAAAACAACATTATGTCATTGTACATTTCCATCAGAGCTCTTAGGCGACCAGGTGCATTGTCAATGATGGATGATGTGCTATCACCCAGGCTTTGTTTCTTCCATTTATAGGGTATAGGCCAAGTAGATTTGGCATAATTCTTAAGGGCCCTAGGATTTTCAGCATGGTTAACAAGCACTGACTTCAGCTTAAAGTCACCTGCTGTATTAATCCCTAACATAAAAGTCAGCCTGTCCTTTGAAGCCAGACATTGACTTCTCTCTAGCTATGAAATCTTTGATGGCATCTTCTTCCAATCAAAGGCTATTTGGTCTACACTGAAAACCTGTTGTAGTGTAGCCACCTTCATGAATCATCTTAGCTGGGTCTTCTGGATAACTTGCAGCTTCTCATCAGCACTTGCTACTTCACCCTGCTCTTCTGTGTTATGGAGACAGCTTCTTTCCTTAAACCTCATGAACCAACCTCTGCTAGCTTGCAACTTTTCTTCTTCAACTTCGTCACCTCTCTCAACCTTCAGAGAACTGAAGAGGTAAGGCCTTGCTCGGGATTAGGCTTTGGTTTTTAGGAGAATGTTGTGGATGGCTTCATCCTCTATTTAGACCATTAAAAATTCTTCCATTAGTAGCAATAAGGCTGTTTCGCCTTCTCATCATTTGTGTGTACACTGAATTAGCACTTTTAACCTCCTTCAAGAACTTCTGTTTTGCATTTGCAACTTGGCTGTTTGGTACAAAAGGCCTAGCTTTTGGGCTATCATGGATTTTGACATGCCCTCCTCACTAAGCTGAATGACTTTTAGTTTTGGATTTACAGTGAGAGATGTGCACCCCTTCCTTTCACTTTAACACTTAGGTCACTGCAGGGTTATTGATTGGCCTAATTTAAATTATTATTGTGTGTCAGGACACCAGGAGGCCTAAGGAAAAGGGAGGGACAGGAGAAGGGCCAACGGGAGGAGCAGTCAGAACACACACAGCATTTAGAGATTAAGTTTGCCATCTTATGTGGGTGCAGTTGGTGCATCCCAAAACAGTATTAACATCAAGATAACTGATCGCAGGATAAAGAAGATATGGTATATATACACAATGGAATATTGCTCGGCCATAAAAAAAAGAATGAGATCTTGTCATCTGTGACAACATGGATGGATCTAGGTGGCATTATGACAAGAGAAGTCAAACAGAGAAAGACAAATACCACATGATTTCACTTAATGTGGATTAAAAAAAAACAAAAAACAGAATCAAACACAAATACAGAGTACAAATGATGGTTGCGGGGGCAGAGGGGGGAGTGTGGGATGGGCAGAATGGGTGAAGGGGAGTGGGAGATACAGGCTTCCAGTTACGGAATAAGTCACGGGGGTGGGGCTGGGGCTGGATGGCTCAGTCAGTAGAGCATGTGACTCTTCATCTTGGGGTCATAAGTTCAAGCCTCACATTGGGCACAGAGCTCACTAAAAAAAAAAAAATCATGGAGATAAAAGATACATATAGGGAATATAGTTAATGGTATTATAATAGAACTGTATATGACAGATGGTAACTACACTTGTGAGCACAGTATAATGTACAGACTTGTGGAATCACTATGTTGTACTACTGAAACTAATGTAACATTGTGTGTCAACTCTATTTCAATTAAATGAAAGAGTTCACTGATCAGGGATCACCATAACAAATACAATAATGAAAAAGTCTGAATATTACAAGAATTACCAAAATGTGACACAGAGATACAAAGCGAGCTGTTGGGAAAAATGGCACCAATAGACTCGCTCAACACCACAAACCTTCAATTTGTAAAAAAAAAACCCCAAAAAACAGTATTTGCAAAGCACAATAAAGTGAAGAGCAATAAAACAAGGTATACTTGTACTTAACTAAACAAGGGTAGCTTTTCATACCATCTTCAATTATGAGTTCCAGACTCCTAATTCCCTTTTTAGATAAAAACTTTTCAAGATTAGAAACATAAGCCATAGGAAAGACTGTAACATGAACTGAAAGCAAGGTTTCTTCTATGAGTTTGATAAATATTCATAATGGTGATTATGATGCCAAGTCATTATTTGCATGCAAAGGTTTTCCTTCCTCAAAACACCTTGATTTTAGCATTTTGGGTTTCACTAGATTAAAAGCAGAAGTGAATTCTATTACAAGGCCACTTCCCTTTTCTGAATAATGGGGTTTAAATAGTTTGGTGGCTTTCAGGTTGGAGGTCTCAACTCATAAGATTCGGAGGACTCAGCTTATGAGTTCATTCATCAGAGTCTATTGGCATCCCTGTGCTTTGAAGAGCTGTTAGACCTCACAGGGTGGAGGTGAGTTGAGAAGATGTCACAGAGGAGAAAGGCAGTCTCCACATAGGTCACAATTGTGTAGCTGTATATGCTGCACATGCTGCATATCCATTATAGCATTTGGCGAATAATAAAGGTTCATTTTTCCTTCAATTTACTTTTAGAATCCTTAATGTTACCTCTATGAACAATATATTGCCATGAACAATGAAATGCCATGGGTTAAAACACACCTGTAACTAGTGTCTCTAAAATTGGGTCACATCAAATCTATAACCTTGAAACTAAGAATTTCCTTTTAGACTTCATGCCAATATATCCGCCACATAGAAGAACAAGTGCACCAGGGGGTGAGGTGGGAGAAAGAACCTAGATAGTAATCATGGTGACCTGATGAATGAGGTAACCCCACTCAAGTACCTGGCACCTGGAGCTCCTTTAACCTTGGTTCCATTTCCCTCCCCCACACAAGCCACTACATGATTTGATCTAAGAACTGAAGTGGATAATGATTCAAAATGAATAATCAAAATTGCCTCCCAATTCCCCAAACCTGTAAGGTCCCTTAAGGATCTACAAGTGTACTTTTGCTCACAAGAGAATGAAACAAATCACTCTCAGCCAAGGTAATCTTCACTAATTCTTACTTAAAAGGTCATGCTGAAAAGCAGAATACAGGTATTAAGAGAAAAATTGTAGCTTTAATAAGGTTAATAATATTTCAATCAACAAAAGTGGGCAGGAAAAGGCCATAAAAATGTAAAAACCCCACCACTTCAGTAGTAGTATGCTTTAATATTAAGGTATTCACAAAACGTCGGGGGGCTGGATATTAAAGCATACTACTACTGAGGTGGTAAGGTTTTTACAGACTAACTTCTCATAAGCCTGCGGCTAAGGTACTATGTTCGGGAAAATCCACGCAGAGGGAATGAAACGCTGTTACCGTTTCTGTGCTGACATTAAGAGAGTTAACTCGATCGGAAGCAAGTGTTTAGGACACGCCTTCTCACCCCCCTCCGCCCCGCGCCATGCCCGCGACCGCCAGTTCACCCTAGAGGACCCCGACATTAGGTGCCAAGTCACAAGTGCAAAGAAACTTACTCTTCTCGGGAGGGAGTGGCCCGGCCGGGTCTCGAGGCCCCTGGCCGGTGGGCTCCGATTCTGAGCCGGGGCAAGGCTCAGGCCCCGGTCCCTCCTGGCCTCGCCACCCTTCGGGGCCCGAGCCGGGCGCCCCTAAACCCAGGCCAACCAGGCGTCCCCTCACCGCCCGCGGTGGCACCCCGTGCGACTCCTCAGCCCCGCACCTGAGGATGTTGTCCGCATAGGTGAGCAACAGCTTGGAGGCCTCCAGAAAGGTCTCTGGGGTGTTCTGGCACAGCTCGGCCACGGCCGGGGACGCGGATCCCGACGCGCTGCCCAGCGCCGCTGCCGCCATGCTTGAGCGCCCGCGGCCGTCGCCGCCCCTCGCGCGCCGCGTCCCGCACTGAGCAGGCGCTACAACGCGCGGCCTCCTCTGCGGCGAGCCGGGAGGGGCGGGGCGCTCGACCCGAAGGTGGGGGGGGCTTGGCGGGGAGGGGCGGGGGACTGGTCTGGAGGGGCGGGGGCGGCCTTAGCGCGGCGGGCTGGGGGTGGTTCCGGGAGGCTTTGACGTTTGGACCTGGAGGGACTGGGGCATCGTCGCCAGGGCCTCGGGGCTTCGATCAGAAGGAAGGGGCGGGGTGCTTGATTGTCAGGGCTCGGGGGCTTCAGCTAGGAGGAGCAGGGAGATGCTGGCCTGTTTGTCCCAGAAATCCGCTCCCTCCGCGCCCTAGAGTGGGCTTAGATTGATCCAGCCACGAAGGTGGGGAAACCCTGTAGTACAACCACCCCTTTTCCCCGAACAAAGCAATCTTATAGCTTCCTCCTCGCAGACTGCCAGGTGTTCCTAGATACGTGTGGATGAAAAGACCCCAGAAGGAAGGAGCAACAAATGTTTAAAACCAAACGGGTGTCTGTATACTCTGCTGGGTTTCTGGTATATATATATTCTTTTTAGAATTAGATGAATGAAAAATCTTTTTCGTAAGTACCAGTTCAAATAGTATGACGTCTCCGTAAAGAAGTAGTTTTCAAACCGCAGGTTGCATAGTAGTGGGTTGTGGACTCAATTTACCGTGTAGTGACCAGCATAAAACCTACATACCATAAGGACAAAATAGAATAGAATAAAATGGGAGGGGGGGGTTGGCAGTAAAAATATGCATCTCACATAGTAAGGGCAGGTATTATTTTGTGACTTTGTATCACAGGTAGATCATGTCATTAATGTCCTTTATTCCTTTTAGAAGATGAATCTTAACTTCTTTAATCCATTCTCTGCCTCACCATGTCCTTGAAAGTGTACTTTACCAATGGCTTCCTTCTTTGCAGACCTACCTTTCAAACCTCAACAAATATTTTTCTTGACCTTGTTTTTAAGGTAAGTTATTTGCGTAAGTAGCTTATTTAAATGTTCTTGATGATTTATCTTCTGTTTGCTTCTTAAATTTGAACTTTTTTTCAGTATCTCAGAGCAAGACCTTGAACTATGCCATCTACTTCAATCACCATTCATCTGCTAGATATGTGGGAAAAGTTTTTAATATGTAGGTTTTTGGACCAGCTTCCAAGACTAGTGTGTTTAACTGATGGTATGTTAATAGCTGCTGTAATTAAAATTTTCAGTGACTTAACACAAGAGAAATTTCTTTCTTGCCACATAACAGTTTAAAAAACAGGTGTCAGGGACACCTGGGTGGCTCAGTCAGTTAAGTGTCTGCCTTCGGCTCAGGTCATGATCCTGGGGTCCTGGGATCGAGTCCTGTATCAGGCTCCTTGCTCAGCGGGGAGCCTGTTTCTCCTCTGCCTGCAGCTTCCCCCGCTTGTGCCCTTTCTCTCTCTCTGATGAATAAATAAAATCTTAGAAATAAATAAAAAGCAGGTGTCATTAGTCAATGGGCAACTTTCCTCCATGTAATGATTCAGGCTCCCAGGCTCCTTCCATCCTGTAGCATAGAGGTCAACAAACATTTTTTTGTTGGGCCAGATTGTAATGTTTAAGGCTTTGTGGCCATAGGGTCTCTGTTTCAACTCTTTTAATTCTGCCTCTGCCCTTGTAGTTCTGTAGACAGTACTCTGATATGAATGGGCATGGCTGCATTCCCATGAAACCGTTTACAAAAACAGGCAGCCTGCTGGATTTGGCCTGTAGTTGGCTAACTCCTGCCATAGAGCCTCAGAGACTTCTGCATTTAGTTAGTGGTTGGGCAAAAAGAAGGCATACCTGCTTCTTAACCACATGGGCCCAAAATGACATACAGCATTTTCTCTACCATATAATTGGAGAAAATGAAGCCCCATCTAGATAAAAGAGGGAAGGCTGGGAAATGTAGTCCCTAGCTGGACATGTACTACCCACAACTCTAAAGGATGGAAAGGTGCGGGGAAGGGGGCCTAGAATTATAGCTAGCTGTCTCTAACCACAAACTATATTCACCTTAATTTGAGTTTCTTTTTTCACATTTATTTATCCTTATAGTAGCTTAAAGTTATTATATACTATATAGTATTTTGACTTTTTTTTCTTCAAATAAATTCTTAGGAGGAAACCCAGCATATAGAAAACACCAATGTGGACATGCTCTAGAATTGAAGCTGGTGGAGGGGGGATGGCGGGCAGAGGGACAGAATGCCTGCCATCAGCTTAGCCTGTCTCTTGACAGAGATAATGGCCACCAGGCATCTTTGTGGGGAACATGCACGCACAGTGTGAAAACCAATGCCATAGAGTTAATATTGTAATAATAATGCACAGTCTAAGAAATCATAGAAATCATCATTTTGAGGGTAATTTAGTAAGTTGTTTATTTTAAATCACCTGAAATTTAAATCATTCCAAATTACTGTTTACCAATATTCCTGTTGAAGTACTTGAGTAAATACAAGTCTCTCTTGGATATCACCATTTATGCAGCTGTTAAGAGGGTTTATTATAAGGGACTTTGACTCGTTCTTTTCCCTGTCTGCTTCTTCCACTAAGTTGAAAATATTTTTTTGGTTCCTTTAGAAAAGTTGAAGACAGTAGGCTACTCTTAATCTCTTTATACTTTAACATTGCTTCAACTAAAGGTTGTTCTAGTTTTAAATCAGCATTGATCTTTCCGTTATTTTTTTTACTCCAAAATAATAAAATTTTTTTTTTTTTTTTTAGGATTCCAGCTTTATTAAGCACACCATCATTAGAGTTGACACATGGTGGCACTATTCTTAAATGGAATAGAAAAAAGAAATAACCCATTAAATTTCCCCAGGATCAGTTTTGACATAAAAAAGAAAACACTGACCTCAGTGAAGACTGTAACAAGGAGAAGGGGTGAAGCCTTTTAGGAACTGGTGCAGTGATTCACTATTGTGTGATTGCATTAAGTGATTAACCAACAATTATTTATTGAGCACCTGTTGTGTACAAAGCAGTCTGAGGAAGGACATAAGAGATTTTGAATCTAGTAGGAAAGACTGAACTGATGATCATACCTTACACACAGGCAGCCCTTGAGTTGATGAAATCAGTTACTGTGAAAAGAAAAAAAAGTCATTTGTAGAAAAACACACAAAGCAGTGTATATATAGAAGTGTATGTGTTTATTCATTCATTTCATAATTCAGTCATTCACCAAATATTTATGAAGTGGCTACTACATGCCTGGCACTGTGCTAGGTACTGTGAAGCAGTGAAGTAGATAAGCATTGGCCCTGCTTTCATGGAAATCATGAGTTTACAGCCGTGGTTAAATCAGCATCAGCATCACCAGCAAGGAATATGGTACTAAATCATTTTATGGCTATTGGATTATCATAGACATTCTTACCCCTTTCCAAACCAAAGGAAAGGAGATCAGAGGTAGAAATAAAAATGAAATGACTTTTTGGTGGTTTTACTTTTCTACAAGATTTTAATTGATTTGTCACTTCTTATCCAAGATAATCTTGTGATATTACAAAAGAAAAAACAGCACATTAAAACTGTATGTTTCATAGGAGTTTGGGTTCAAAAGAATTCTTTTCACACTGTAATTTCAACATATTGCAAACAATGAAAAGGGACAGCAAGGTTGGATATTTCTCACTCACAAGTTTTAGTTATTTTATAACCACATGTGTTTGTTTAATTCCTCTTAAATTAACTCTCTAGTTAATGAATGAAGGTCATGCTAAGAAGTAACTGAATAGGCCTTGGATCAAGGAAGACTCAAGGTCATACTGGGCTTTCCTAAACTATTTTATGGAAACTACATTTCCAAACTAACCAGGAAAAGCTAAGCTAGACCAAAATTATTCTCTACAGCTGGGAAAGAAGGCAGAGCACTAGTAAACAATCATTTCAAGACACACTGTCCAGAAAGAAACAAATATGGCTGGGAGGATCAGATGCAGATTACATCACCAATCCTTTATCTAAAAAAGAAAAAGGACACAAACCTCATACCTGGGATAGCATGTGAGCAACAGATGGTCATCTAAATAAATACCTTGCTGCTTTCCTTTTTTAAAAAAATATTTCATGTTATATTTTTCCCTTTATAGATTCACAGCTAACTGAACAAATGAAGTTTTTTTTTAGACACTTAGGAATGTCTGTAATCTGTTTTTGTTTCCATTCTTGTTAGACATTGTGCATGGCATTTTTCAGCCCTGCCCCAGATCCAACAATATTTGTTCATTGTAGAAAAAATAGTAAATAAGACTAGGCAAAATGGGGGAACGTCCCAATCTGTACATCCTTGCAAATCTTAAAATAAATAAATATATACACACACGTATTTTAAAAGGTATATATATTTTGTAACCTGTATCTCCTAACAGGGTTTTGACCTCTTTCCACAGCCTTTAGTTGTACTACAAAATAACCCATTTCCTGATGTTGGGCACTTTGGTTAGTTCTACTTTACTATTATAAACAGCTTTGGGAGGTACAGTAATGACTTTAAGGCTACAGTAATTTCCTTAATTCTTCCCAAGGATTTCAGTAGAATATGACAGCGTCCCTTCTCCCAGCAGATGGAAATATTTGGACATCGTTACCCCCCCTCAAAATCCTTTTCTGATCGGCAAAAAGCTATCTCCTCGCGTCCTGTGCACGTTCTTAATTATCATCCAGTCACTGAAGTCGCACGAGGGCCGTTCCCTCCCGTGCAACCTGAGCCTCGCAGTCACCCGTGGTCTGACCTCCACCAAGGTGACGCGAAGGAAGGGCCAGCGGCCGCACCCGGCTCAGACGTAGCGCGTGCGTGTGCGCGCGCATGAGCGGACGTGCGTGTGCAGACGGCGGCTGCGCGGCCGGCGCCAGGCCTGGTGAAGGTATCAGCTGCTTGCTAAGCTTCTCCTTCCGCTCCTCCACCGCGAGATCGGGTGGGGGTTGGATCGGAAAAGGGGAGTCTGATGACCCGGGCCTGGTTTCTTTCCCTCTCGGCATGCTTTCTTCGGGGGGTGGGGTGGGGTGGAGTGCGGTGCTTGGGAGGCGGTGTGGGGAGCTGGTCACGCCCCCTCACTCCCAAACCCCGCCCCTTGGGTTAAAACCCTAATTATCTCCACGTTTTTGAAGATCAATAACGTTCACTTACTCCTACCTCAAAGAATAGGCCCTGAAGTGTTTTTTTGTGTCATTGGCACCAGAAATACTACTTAGCATAAGGCCTCAGTAATCCTGATAAAGGATGCTTTCTGCAGTCCATAAAAGGCTGGGAATGCCTTTATGTTTTTCATGGTGTAATTCTGTTGTGGTGAATTGAATGAATCATCATTTCACCTCTTTGTCTTGGAATGTCTGAGGGTACTTACAGTCTAAAAAGGGAACTCCAAACAGTTGGTTTGACGATAAGTATAAAGTGATGTTAACGTTATTTTCCTTGTGTTCGTTAACAGCTCACACCGAGCACCTGAAAGAAGTTTTCGGCTATTGTTTCCTAGGCCTATAAGCTATTTAAACAGCAGTGATTACCTCCTGAACGTGTTGTGATCTGTTACAGGAATGTGCTTCTGATCATCTGAATCTCAACCATGGTGTTAAACTGCTTGGAAAATTTATTAAAAATTACAAGCTCTCATCTATATTCGAGATTATGCCAGCGATTATTAGGAAGTAAAAGGTTTTTCGGAACTGCGCCAACGTTCAGATTTCGTAGGCGGGTTGTCATTACAGGCATTGGCTTAGTGACTCCTCTGGGTGTTGGAACTCAGCTGGTCTGGGATCGTCTTATTCGAGGAGAGAGTGGAATTATTTCACTGGTCAGTGAGGAGTATAAGAATATCCCTTGCAGTGTTGCTGCTTATGTGCCAAGAGGTTGTGATGAAGGTCAGTTCAATGAACAAAACTTTGTGTCCAAATCCGATATCAAGTCCATGTCTTCTCCCACCATTATGGCCATTGGGGCTGCAGAGTTAGCCATGAAAGATTCTGGCTGGCACCCTCAATCAGAAGCGGATCAAATGGCTACCGGAGTTGCAATTGGCATGGGAATGGTTCCTCTTGAAGTTGTTTCTGAAACTGCTTTGATGTTTCAGACAAAAGGTTATAGTAAAGTCAGCCCATTCTTTGTCCCTAAGATTCTGGTCAATATGGCAGCAGGCCAGGTCAGTATTCGATATAAACTCAAGGGCCCCAATCATGCAGTGTCTACAGCCTGTACCACAGGAGCTCATGCTGTGGGAGACTCTTTTAGATTTATAGCCCATGGTGATGCTGATGTGATGGTGGCTGGAGGTACAGATTCTTGCATTAGTCCTTTATCTCTTGCTGGGTTTTCCAGAGCCCGTGCTCTGAGCACAAACCCTGATCCTAAGTTGGCATGTAGACCATTTCACCCAAAGAGAGATGGTTTTGTCATGGGAGAAGGTGCAGCTGTGCTGGTGCTGGAAGAATATGATCATGCTGTTCAACGAGGGGCCCGGATCTATGCAGAAGTTTTGGGCTATGGACTCTCAGGTGATGCTGGTCACATAACTGCGCCTGACCCTGAAGGAGAAGGTGCCTTAAGGTAAAGACTTGTTTTGTTTTTAAAAGATTTATTTACCTATTAGAGAGAGAGAGAGAGAGCATGTGTGGGGGAGGAGCAGAGGGAGAGGAGAGAGAATCCCAAGCAGAGTCCACGCCAATCCCATGATCCCAGGACCAAGATCACAACCTGAGCCGAAACCAGGAGCAGCTCAACCAAGGGCCGCTCAACCAGCTGCACCACCTAGGTGCCCCAAGACTTACTCTATTTAAAATATTTCTTCAAATAAGACATTTTATTAGACTTTCAAACCGGGGAGTCCAATATAGTAGTATCTGCCCTTGGTGTACAGTATCTTTGATGTTTTTCCATTTTAGACTAGACAAAATGGTTTTGAATTCTTTAACATGTTTGTAAGATTTGAAACCATTTGAACGTCTTTAACAAACATTGGATTTTAGTTAAGGCCTGTAAAGTTGTGAAGAGGGCCATGTGTGTCTTTGCCAATTTTTCATACTTCCAGTTGTGCTTAACAACTGTCAGAGTGCTCCCTCCCACAGTCCTCCTCTTTGGCCCTTCATCAGACTCAGACGGTAAAGTCAACCCTTCTAGTTGTGTCTGGTCTCTGTGCCATTGTTACTAAATCAGTACTTTCTAACTTTTCACTACCCAGGGATTCTGACTCTAGGCCTGGGGTGGTGCTAGAGATTCTGCCTTTCTAACAAGCTCGCATGATGCTGATGCTGCTGGTCTGAGGACCACAATTTGAAAAGCAAGTTGATATTGCAGAATAGATAGTTAAAAAAAAAAAAATCCCTGTTAATGTTTTAGCTAATAGGTTAGCCTGCTTAGATCATATTATGTTTTTTGTTTTTTGGGGTTTTTTAAATATATTTTTTTTTAAAGATTTATTTACTTGACAGAGAGAGAGCGAGAAAGGGAACACAAGCAGGGGGAGTGGGAGAGGGAGAAGCAGGCTTCCCGCGGAGCAGGGAGCCAGACACCGGGCTCGACGTGGGGCTCGACCCCAGGACACTGGGATCATGATCTGAGCCGAAGACAGACGCTTAACGACTGAGCCACCCAGGCGCCCCTAAATAATTCTTATTTATTTAATTGACAGAGAGAGAGCGAGAACAAGCAGGGGGAATAGCGGGCAGAGGGAGAAGCAGGCTTCCCGCCGAGCAGGGAGCCCGATGCAGGACTCGATCCCAGGACCCAGGGATCATGATCTGAGCCAAAGGAAGACACTTAACCAACCGAGCCACCCAGGCGCCCGATCATATTATGTTTTAACCAGTTAACTTGACCAAGGGTTGGCAGACCTTTTCTGTAAAGGGACAAATAGTATTTTCAGCTTTGTGGGCCATAGGGTCTCTGTCACAATTATTCAAATCTGTCTTCTAGTGTGAAAGCAGCCATAGACAATACAAAAATGAATGGATGTGCTCCAGTGAAAGTACAGTTGACCTTTGAACAATGCAGGGGTCAGGGGCACTGGCCCACCGTGCAGTCAGAAATCCATGTATAACTTTGACTTCTCCAAAACTTAACTACTAATAGGCTATTGTTGACAAAAAGCCTTCCTGATAACATAGTCAACATACACGTATTTTGTGTATGTATTATATACTGTTTTCTTACAATAAGGTAAGCTAGAGAAAACAATGTTATTAAGAAAATCATAAGGAGGAGAAAATACATTTATAGTACAGTAGTGTAAAAAAATCCACATGTAAGTGGACCCACACAGTTCAAACCCATATTATTCAAGGGTCAGCTGTGTTTGTAAAAACAGGCATCTGGCCAGGGCCATACTTTACTGGCCTCTGAATTATGCTTTTGAGTTTTGGTAAATAGTTGCTGGTGCTAGAAGTATCAAACATAGTAGCCAGCTACATGAAGAACTAGTTATATTCAGGTGAAACCCTTCATCACACTTCAAATTATACACTGAGATGCCTCTTAAGGAAATATATGCAACCCAGAGATCGGGAACTAAAACAGAAGGTGTTGACATTCATGATGTTTTCAAAGATTCTTCCAGAGAAATGTTTTCTTTTTGGATTTGTTTTTTTTTTGGCTTGGCGTTGTACTTCATTTATTTAGAATTCTTAAAGCTTAAATAGAATTTTGAGAGGTTATTTGAAGCACCAAAGTAATGGTGCAGACATCTTTAGATTATTGGGAAATATGCCAAGTTTTATATTTAAATGTGAGAAAAAATTAAAACACGGTTATAAAATTTTTCTCCACATTTGGAATCACTACATACACACACACACACCCCACTGATAAATTCCTAGAAGAAAAACTATTCTAGGCTTGAGTCAACATGGTTTTTCCCCAGGGAAAAATACCAATTCAAGTAAGTGGAAATACATTTTGTTAGAGATTATAAAACCCATAGGCCTTTGTATTTATCTCATGGTGTTGAATCAGTCCAGGGTACTGGGGGTGACTCATTATTCCTGTGCAGGTGGCATTCTAACTCCTATGGTAATCCAAGTTGGGGTTCTGTTATTAGAGGAAAGGAGTCTCTTCATCCAGCATGTATGTTTATTTCTTTCTCATAAGCCATATAAGGACTCCTGTGTTCAAACTAAACTTAGTTCTGATAAATTTCTTTCCTTATTTTATTAGATGTATGGCTGCAGCTGTAAAAGATGCAGGTGTACGACCTGAAGAGATATCCTATGTCAACGCACATGCTACTTCCACCCCATTGGGAGATGCTGCTGAAAACAAAGCTATCAAAAATCTTTTCAAAGACCATGCACCTTCCCTTGCGGTTTCTTCAACTAAGGGAGCCACGGGACATCTGTTGGGAGCTGCAGGGGCGGTTGAGGCAGCTTTTACTGCTCTGGCTTGTTATTATCAAAAACTACCACCTACTTTAAACCTGGACTGTACAGAACCAGAATTTGATCTCAATTATGTTCCACTAAAGGCACAGGAATGGAAAATTGAGAAAAGACGTATTGGACTCACCAATTCCTTTGGTTTTGGTGGTACTAATGCAACACTTTGTATTGCTGGCATGTAGGACAAATCATTTGTAATTAAACATTGATTTTTAAAAAATATGAACTATATTAAGTGGAGAATTAAAATGTTTATATAAATATATCAATATGTATCAATCTATATATATCAGTCTATATCAATACCCATATACCCTTCATCGGTGTCAGGGTTTCTCAGCCCTGCCACTATTGATATTTTGGACAGGATAATTCTTTGTTGGGGTAAGGGGAGCTGTCCTATATGTTATAGGATGCTTAGCAGCATCCTCATCTTTACCCACTAGATTGCAGAAGCACGGTCTTCTCTAGTTCTGACAACCAAAATGTCTCTAGACATTGCCAGGTATTTTCTGGGTGGCGAAACAGTCCTCATAGGAGGACCACTGATCTCTATTTTCCTAATACTCTAGGTCACACAGCTCTTTGATGTTTCACCCGCTCTTGTCCCTTCCACAAACATTGGGTGAGTAGCTGCTCTGTGCTAGGCAAGGTTGTTGCATTGTACAACTCCAGACATGCCATTCCCATACAACATAAGGAGAAGGAATACAAATATAACTGGGAGTTTGCCTCAGTGATCAGCATTCTTTGAATAAAGCAGTCAACCAGCAATGAGCTCTTTACCCCTTCTATCTAGCTAGCTCTCTTTTCTTCATATTATCCATACAGAGATGCAGTCGATTAGTGAAATTTCCCTAAATGTCCCAGTCATGAGTTCTCTGAAAGAAGGAGAGAAGATTGGTTTGGTGTTTCTTACTCTTTTTGTATTTATGGTGGCAGCTAGTGATTAATGGAGATAAAGGTCCTTGGGAACTTGCTGGTGACTTAAGCCACATCACCTCAGCCCACCTTTATTGCAGCTATGGTAGATAATTTTTGTGTCTGCTTCTAATGTCCCCTGCCAGTGCTAGTGGTGCCTCTTAATTTTCCACCCTGGGGCTTTGTCCAGGGGACATCCCGTCTGGCTGGGAGTGTTGGGAAGGGGACAGGGACAAGTCCCCTGGAGCAGCAGTCAAAACCAGTGAGGGATGGGGTGAGTTGAGTGCGTCCGCCTCCTCTCAGAGGCATAGTTCATGTTCTCCGCAGTTCCTCAGGGGGCTTCTGGTCAGATAAAACTTTAGTGCTCAGGCATTAACCAGCTCAATAACCCTCTTTACTGGCTTTTACCCCCTTCCCTTTCGTCCCTTCCTGAGTTTTACCCTACTCCCGGAAATCACCTCCTAAACAAACTACCTTGCATTAGCCTCTGCTTTGTGGGAGACTCAGACTAAGGCAAGAAGTGTGTGTTGAAATGGTAGCAAAGGGCTAGAGTGAGTGAGTGGATAAATGGAGCATATATGTTTCTGCAGAACTGAATAGTGTTCCACACGTTTTAATAGGCTGGATATATTGTCTGTCTACTGGCTTTAACTATGGCACTTTATCCCCTGTATGACTTAAGATTGCGCCCATGTTCATTCAGTTATAATCTGTTTTAACGGTCACTGGCACATATTAATTTCCTCAACCAAAATTTGTTGGGTGCTAACTATGGCCCTGGTTTTGTACTGGCCACTGATGATAAAGTGATATGTCAGGGAAGGTTTCCTAAAAGAAGCTGAGCCCATATGGGTGCATAGGTCTCAGCCAGGTTAAGGGGAAGAGAGGAAAGGAAGGAAGAGTATTGCAGTCTTGAGGAATAGTGTAGAAAGGTTAGAAAAGCTAAACATAAATACATACAGCCTGAGATTGGGGGCGGTGGTGGCGAGGAATAGGAGATACAGCAAAAAATCTGCTGGAAGTCAGGTCACAGGGAACCTTACAAGTTTTGTTAAGGACATAAAAGTAACGGGAGGTCATTTAAGGTAAGGTGAGGATGGTTTTGTAAGGTGTCGACTTGGCTAGGCTGACCTGCATTTCCTAGAATTCTGTTTACTGTATGTTGTTGGTTAGTGCTGGCCTCAAGAGATTCTTGTGGGAGATTTGGGGGGTGGGTGGGGGTGAAGCAGCAGCCATTTTGTAGCAGATACGTGTTGGGGCTTTGCTGGCTCACCTTGATGACGAGGCAGTGGCTGAGCCCGCAACTGCTTTCCCTTCCGCTGGATCTTCCTTCTGTTTCCCTGACTCCTGGACCAGGTATGTGTCTAGCTCCATGATAATGAAGGGCCCCAGCTTTGCCCCATGCCACCACCGTCAGACGCAGCAAGGCCTGAGTGATTTCAGTTCATTCCCGCGGTGGTGGGTTCCAGCTTGTTACTGAAACTTTACATCCATCTTCCCTTCCCAACTGCCTGCCCTGTGGACTTCAGATGGATCAGAGCATCAGCATCAGAGGATAACACGTGAACGTAACAGCCTCATAGAGACTGTTGAACCACTTCTCCTAGAAGAGGAAGCTTAGTGGGACAAATAGCTCCTAATGCTGCGGTAGGTTTCAGGTTCACTCTGGTCCTCACCCTCCCCATAATCCACTATTCATCCTGAATTCTTCCTCGCACTCAGCTGTTACCGTGGCAGGCCTTGCTGGCTTTCCTGGTGATGTGACTCAAACCTTCATTCCCGACAGCCTGGGCCCTAGGCAATCATACCACACCTTTTCCAGACAGCAGTTGCTGTTTGTGTCTAGACCACTGGCATCAGGAGGCAAGGAAATACCAGAAGGTGCCCAAGTACACCACTTAGATTCCACACATATTCTCCCTGTCCTCCTTGTAAAGCAGCACCACCTTCTTCAGCTGATTAGGGTCAAATACCACAGCCAGTATGTTGACTTTCTGGGCTCCGGGCACAAGGAGTCCAAAGTGTCCTAGTGGTAACTATAGTTTGTTGTTCAATGTGGCACTTTCTGTGTTTCCTGGCAAGAATATGTATACCCTTTGGAGACCAGAATTCTAACACTGAAGAGCCCAGAGTTGCAAGGATGGGAAGTATAAAATTCCCCATTGTGATTGAATCATTGGGAGTGATGGTAAGTAGGGCCACTCCTGTTCCCCACACCCTTTGTGTTCTACTTATTGGGGACTTGACCCCATACAGAAGTCTTTGATTTTAGCATATACTGCATCTTGAAGATGGCACCACATTCAGGATATTGCTTCTGAGCTACTCATTAAGGTTTCCCTTTAGAAGACTGTTCCAGCATTCTCTGAGGCTGGCTGCTTCTGGATGGTATGACATGGGATACAACTCATGGATCCCATGTCATTGGCCTGCTCCTATGGTCCATCCCCTTTGCTGTGCTGGAAGCCGCCCTGCTCGGTATTGGAGGAGTCATCAAGAGGATGTGTGTCACAGAAATAACCAAATTTCCATGTTAATCACATTGTAATGAACTCTTTCCAGATCTTAACCATAGCTATTTTTTTAAAATTTATTTCTTTGAGAGAGCGAGAATGAGAGAGAGAGAGTACATGAGAGGGGAGAGGGTCAGAGGGAGAAGCAGGCTCCTCGCCGAGCAGGGAGCCCAATGTGGGACTCGATCCTGGGACTCCAGGATCATGACCTGAGCCGAAGGCAGTCGCTTAACCAACTGAGCCACCCAGGCGCCCCTTTAACCATAGCTATTTTTAAGTCTTGTCATTTACAGACAGTTATTGCTGTACTCTGATGCCCTTGCAGAAGTGTTCCTGCAAAAGTGCTTCATCTTCCAGGAGATTCATGGAAAAGACTGACAAGTACAGGTGTTTGATAACTAAGATCATACTACTGAACTAATAAGAATTTATAGAACTCTAATGGAAAAGCTGATGACGTCTATAATTTTTATGAGTTTTTATTGGAAACGTTGATTTTTTTGTTTTGTTTTTCCAGAGTTAAGATTTTTTTTCTCTTTTTTTCTTCAGCTATCAGCAATTTACCAACATATATGTTTGTTTCAAAGTTCATAAAGTTTCAACTTTATGAACAAAGTTGAAACATTTATCTTTTCTTCCCTACCCGATTCCTCCAGAATTTGGAAAATCTTAATGTGTATTCTTATTTTCATGTCCATATAGTTATTTGCGTAAGTTCAGTAAGAATCTGTTCTCCTTGTAACAGGAAAGAACTACAGCAGCCAGTGAGTTGAACTCAGAGCAGTTTGGCTGGTGATCACTCATGAGCCCTGGCCATTAATCCTCTGTACTGACAGTTGGGCTATTCTAAAGGGATTAACCCCATGGCTTGGACCAGCGGGAAGGTGAGAGATGGATGATCATGAATAAGCCCTTGTGAGGTCAGGATATGTGGATTTGGGTTCACCTGCAAGGGCCTGAGACATTTCTCACTGCCTTCTATATCCTGGCTCCTAAGGCACTGACACTTCCTGGCAATCAGGAAGTTAATGCCATTTGCTCTGTATGAGCCTTCGTACTGGCCCTTCCGTAGATGCCACCTCAGTGCCCAGGTGGAATGGCATATTGCCAGGAATGCCAAATTGCCCTTGAAATACAGGGACTTGGTTAATGCAGTAACAACATGTCTTGTGTGTTCTAAACAATGCCTAAGGCAATTGCCAGAAGACTCTAGGGCCGTTCACTGGAGTTCCCAACCGATGAGGGATTGGCAAGTTGATGATGTTGGCCCTCTCCCTCCAAGTAAGGGTTCTAAATATGCCTTGGTTTGTGTTGACATTGTGTCTGGCCTAACCCAAGCATTCCTTTGTCACTGCACAAACCATGCTGCCACCATTAGGGTATTAGAGAAGCTAAGTACCATGTAGATACCCTCATCAAATAGATAGTGATTAGGGGTCACATTGCAGATGTCATGATGTACAAAACTGGGCAAAATAGTATGATATCAAATGGAGGTTCCATCTTCCCTGTAATCTGCAAGCAATAGATTAAATTACTAAAGGGTAAAACCACCTTCCCCGGGTAGACTAAGGTACTCTCCCATGTTTTAATACATTTGAATGATCAACCAGTAGCGCTTGTTGCTCTGTATGCCAGACTGAGGACCCTGCTGAGATACCCAGTACAAAGGTATGGGAATTGTGGGAAACAGTTCCCCCTCCCAACTGTCACCATGGATCAAAGTGCTATGCTTTTGAGAATACCAAGTCCCATGATGTCTGGGAAAGGTGTTACCTACTGGAAT